AGAGAGTTTTGATGCGCGGTTTCCGGTTTCGGTCAATTCTTTTATAGTGAGCGGTGTAGCGTCCTCACAAAATTCAAATGGTTGGCGGCCAAACATTCATGTTTGAACCCACTTTGAACCTGTTTTCTCGTTACGTGTACACGGTTGGATCCAAACGACGGTATTACAGCTCGCAGGTGTGCCTGGATGTCGCCGGAAGAGACAGTTGTCGTTTTTTGCTATAGGATGTTGGTTGTTTATATATTGATGTAGCGAAGACCTCAATAAGCAGTTTTCGCCGAGTCGGAACCGCTTTCTCCGGCGAACTCCCACAAGCCAGGACCGCTTTTCTCTTCGTCAGCTACTCGGGCCAGATTATTCCACGTATAAATCTTTTGACTCGTCGACAAAGTACCAAGTTTGCACGTCATATCGCTTGCTGTGCGTGATCGGCAGTGAAATGAATTACCCGCCAAGTTTAAAATTACATGACGCCACTCTAACCGACCAATAAGGTGGCGTCCTTAAAATAACCACGCACTATGATACAGAACCAAGAATAGATTGAAAAGAATTTTCATGGGAAGAGGGTCATGTATGGGGGGTTCGCGCTCTTAGATCATTCTCTCTTGGTATAGTTGAGGTGTATAACTAGTAATAGTTGACACTACAGCTACTCCCGCTCTGTATATTGTCGGTCAATGGCATTCTTGCTCGTTGTGTAGCTCTTTGAAATTTACCGATCCATAAGGAAGATTTTCACACATATTCCATACAACAGGTGAGATAAATACAGGAAACGCAAGGTTCCATGCACAGTTTCAGGTCAATTAACACAGCTTTGATCAAAACATTCTCAGTTTCGAGAATAGTTTATACTAAACCTTCTCAAACTCATTAATAATTCATTAAGAAAATACAAAGGAAATTAATGTTTCATGAGTGTTTGGAAATCGGATGAAACACTGCTTAGTATTTGCATCCTTAATTTCTCCTTCAAAAATGATTTTGTTTGAGAAGAAATATCAAACATTCGACACAGTGTTTCATCACCAGATGAAACACCTCGAAGTTCGTCAAAAATACTCCGCTGCGCGTCGTATTTTCAACTCTCTTCTCGGTGTTTCATCTGGTGATGAAACACTGCATCTCGTGTTTGATATATTACATAAAAGATTTAATTAGAAGAAAAAGATTTAATTAGAAGTTGAATTTTTCGCTATTTCTCTTTCACTTTTTGCATTCATTTCATTTTATTTGCCAGAAAGGAAGCGGAAGGATCAATTCACACGCGCGCATTCTAGTCTTATTTTAAACTTTATAGCGGAAGGACATCTGTGAGCAGGGAATAAGTCAGCACAGAATTTGATTGTCGGCGAATTTCTGTAATCGTCCATCGTTCTGCTAGTGAGAAGGTAGCCGTTGTTCACTCGTCTTGCTTGTTTGGGGCTGAGTCTTATTCCGGTCAAAGAGAGAGAAAGTGTGTCTGGCAAGGTTTCCAATGAAAGCGGGATTTGTGAACTCGTGTCTGGCAAACTCTCCAAGTGTTTATGTAAACACAGTTATACGCACCTTATAAATTCTGCGCTTAACGAGTCTCGTTAAAATTTTGGTCCATAACTTTCACTGAAACAAATGCTGCACAGAATGTCACTGATAACACGTAACGCAAAAGAGTATCGAAGTATGACTGCACACTAAATGTCACAAAATCTACCTAAGCGGTCCCTTGGGGATGTTCTGTGCTTACGTCATCCTAACCATTCGTACTTGCGGGCGCAAACAACAGAAACGTTACCATTACCTACCGATTCCTCGCGGCCCCTATTCAAGCAAAGCGAGAGTTTTTCTACATTGACTGTATGACTGTATATTTCAGCTGTAAGTGTACTGCTACCTGCGAGTCGCCAAGGTTTCAAATACTGCACATGGTTTATTTCGTCCAAAATGTACAGAAATACAGAAGATACAAAAAATTCGAAATCTACGTAGAGATATCAACAGGAACTGCAATCAGTCAAGAAATGTTAAAGCAAACCGTAAATAAGAATAATATTCACGTGCCCGAATAGTTTCGCAACTAGTAGTAATGATCAACCAGTGGTAATGATCTTACTAATCAATGATTGTTACGTCATGTCATTAGTCGTGATTCTATCACGCATGAATTTCGTGTTATACCGAAACAGTAAGTACTTTCCTTAATATACGCGCGAGTTACTAGAGTGCTCCTCGGGATTTCGCCTTCTGGGCGAAATCCCTGTGGGGGCAATTATTGTAGTAGAGTTTGGTATAAACATGAATAAAATACAAAAAGTCTTATTCTTGTAATACATTCTACAAGACATTTTTCCCCTGACAAAAGCCGCGATCTTCACTCTCCATTCTCCCGTAATCGGCTTCGACTGTCACAGTGACTGTTAAACGAGGCGCGGATTCAGGAATTTTTTATTGGCGCTTTTCAAAACTTGTACTCGCCGTTAAAACAATCCTACAGCCTGTTAACAGCTAACTAGAAATAGTTGACTCTACAGCTACTCCCGCTCTGTGTGTTGTCGTCAATATATGGACCAATTTCGATATATTAGAATTCAAACATTCTTCATTCCTGTGGGAGATTTTCACTCGTATTCCATAAGTGAGATAAAAAAAGAAAAAGTGCAATACGCGATTTACGCAGACTTCATCAAAACACTCTCTCGAACTCTCACTTTCGAGAGTTTTTTCGGCGACAAGGAAAAATTGGTTGATGCTCGATTACCAAGTATTGAGTCATTCTACTGTGTGACGTTTATAGAGAGAGAAGAAGTGTGACGTCACGTTATGTAACCACTTAACTGCCACTTTTGTTTGCTATGGAAGACATCTTCATCAAATCAAACAAAAATGAACAGACAGGAAATGACCAGTTTCCTCGCACATCAAAGTCATGTACTTGGAAGGTTACCAGTAAGTGAAAGCAAGAACCAACTGCCATTCAGGAACTGAAGTTTGAAAAGCATGTTTATGGTAAAAAAAGGAAAGACTGGAAGGCTTCAACCAACACTGCCCCTAAGGAAGTGGGTGCTCCTCACAGACAACGACACAGTGCTGATTTTAAACTAATTTTTGAAAAAATTAAAAACACAGAAGAAAAAAACACAGGAAAAATATTGTCTCTCTTATTATCATTCCACATGACCTTCCGGAAAATTCAATGCCTCTGGATGAAACTGAAAGCTCTGACAATGACATACCGTCTAAATGGGATATAGTATCCCCTACTAAGTGTGCTCCACTTTCAATGACAGACATAGAAGAAAAAGTACTTAGATTCAGAGATAGAATATATAACTCTGCCAAGGAAAGAAATGAAAGTGCTCAAGAACAAAAGGCCAGCATGAAACAAGAACTTGGTTTGATGTACGGAAACCACGCATAACAGTTCACAGTGCAAGAGATGTCTATTAAAGCCAACAACAAGCCCAGCAAAAGCTATTTTAGAAGTACTTTTTTATCCCAAGAAAGTACAAACTAAAGCCATGAGAGATGAATCAAAATCCAATATCATCCATGTATTTGAAAATCAGACTAACCAGAAGGTACACAAGTCCGGCTTTTTTTATCTGAGACACATCCATTATTAGGTGCATCTCCTGATGGAGTCATAAATGACAACAAGATTGTTGAAGCCGTAAAGAGGGTTGCATTGAGGGAATGAAGGTCACTTGATGATGGGATGTGCAGGCTTGGAATTTACAAGAAACTGTCAAGAAAAATGACAGTGAACTGATTATCAACAAGAATCATAGATATTACTACCAGACGCAACAACTGCTTTTTCGCACTAGGAGAAACACTTGCAATTTTATTGTTTCAAGTGAAAAGAGGAGTCACATAGAATCTGTTCCTTTTGACTCTGTATTTTAGGCGGGTGTGCTTCCAAAACTTGAGCAATTTTGCTGTCATATATCAAGCATAAGACGCAGTGTCTCATCACCAGATGAAACACCGATATAATAGGTTGAAGTTCATTTCTCATGAATTTTATCCAAGTCCATCAAACGGACGAAACAGTGGCCACTGATACACGAAACCATTCAGCTAAATATTTTTCAAATAGCCCAAGTTTTAACCTTAACAGCACTATTGTAAATTCTTGCCAGACTGACAGCTTTCGCTTGGTTTCAGGCTTTTATATTGAGGATCAAAGTTTGTCGTCCCATTGTTACTGTAACTTAAACTTGCAGCTTTTAATTTTAACAAATCAAAACATATAGCAAAATATCAAAGTTGGGAAAGCCGGTGTAAAACGAAATGTCTTCATCTCTGTGCCGTTTGTAATCATCTTACATTCCTATACTTTCACTCAACTGAACAGGAACCACCATTGGCTGATTCTTGGTCACGTGGCCTTGACTAAAATCCAACTAGTGGTCTATTATCAATACTTAGGCATTAAAGTTAGAAGGCACAAGTATTGAAAATTCAATGAAACTGCGAGCAAAGCGAGCTGGTGATTTTTAGGGGGCAACCAAAAAATACACGCGGCAAGTAAAACTAGCGACATAGTTGCCCAGAGGGCAAGTTAGCAGGAAAATTAGGACATGTGTTAAAAGTGCCAAATGAACATCGTACCTGTAGGGCCCATTAAAAGGTTTGCTTATAATTTCCCAAACAGACACGCGCACCGAAAAAGGCTGGTTATAGACCTTAGTAATACACCTATAAACCGTTTAGCTTGTCTCCTTCGTGTCCCTATGGCCCGTCGTTTTAAAGACACGTGGCCTTTGAATGAAGCCGAGTGGCTTAGGCTCTAGGGACGAGAATGGTTTCGTTTAGAAAAGTGGACGGAAGTAAGACTCAGAGCAAAGTCCCCTTTTCTACCCGTCTAATATATCACGCAATAAAGGACTCTGCTGGCAGAAAACAACGAAAACGACGTTAATTAATGCGGCTAAGAATACGCATGTTGACTCTACGAGAACTTTCCAAACTGCCTAGCATTATAATGTATAATAAGGACTGCTGTTGCAGGTTGTCTAACCATCAAACTTACCAGTTTCATCGAGATAGTAAGATTCCTGAAAAAATTGCACCACGTCATCCCTTTTCATTTTTGCCAGGGCTTTCACCAGGATTTCTACAGTCATCAATGGATCAAAATACAAATACGAAAACAGCCTTCTTGTTGCTTTTCTGTTTGAGTAACTCTTTTCCTGAAGCATTTTAAGGGACGTGAATGTAACTCCGAGTTTCTGAGCGAGGCTGTGCCAATTTCCTAACACCAATGATTCACCATCCAGTTCTAAGGCTAATTGATCTAAACAACCAAACCTTGCTGAAGACGCGTCTAAATTCCGTGATGTTATTTCTCTGCTAACCACTTCAGAGTTGAGGAAACCTTTTGAAAAAGGGACAAATGTACTTAAATTACAGTTTTGAGTAGATTGTTTTTCGTTAAGTATGAAAACGTCCAAAAATTAATTAAATGAGTAAAGATAAAATATGTTTTTACTTTTGGTTAACGAGAGTTATTTGCGGGTAAAAGTTTTCCTTTAACGATATAGTGGGTAGAAAGTGCGCTTCATACAACTATTTCAAGAAAGATTGACCGATGAAATGTGCACGCGACAATCCCGAAAGATAATATGGGATATGCCCCATACACTGTTCCTGACACTGCAGCTGTCGAACTTCGTCGAACTACTATTGTTGCTTTCCTTTAGCACTCGCAAACATAATTCCATGGCCTCTCGTGACATTCTTGCAAATTTCTTTGAAGAACAGTGAACTCAAAACCACCCACAATACCTCTTGGGATTGTCGCGTGCCCTTTAAAAATATCTCGAAATAGCTGTATACAAATGAAGAACGCTCTTATGCGAGCGAGGACTCAACACCAACGAATACAAATATAGAAGATAACACTTGTTGTTTCATCCCCCAGGGGGCTTATTTGTGAGGGTGGGCTTAGCCTGAGATCATGCCCTCTCCCTATCACGAGCCAAAAGAAACAAAGAAGCCAAAAAAAATTGAAAAATAAAATAACGCCTGATCTCAGGTTAGGGTGGGCTTATTTAATCTAACATAGGCGATGGAAGCAGTTCTCCATAAAAAACTAAAATGCAATGTGGAAATGTTCAAGTACACAGTTGGAGGTCATGAAGCCGGGGATCAAAAACAAATCCGAACTTTCAGCTCGTGAATAAAAACCTCCTAGATCAGTCCACACCAGTGATTTTGTTACAAATAGTTATGGTGAGTCCTGGGTCTCATCCTGCGAAAAATCATCAGTCCAGAATTATTGAGTCCCAGTTTAAAAACATGAGTCCCTGGGCCTCGGTAACCACACAGTTAATCTAAAGACAGACTCCAAAACTCTGTATTACAGTTTACTAAAATAAAAATATAACTTCTATTGTCAAGCACGACAAAGACTAAAAGAAATATGCGCCGTTAAACAACAGCCACAGAAATCACACAGTCAGGATATTCTACAAAAACACCTTCAGATCGATCGAGCAATTTTTGCGTCCTACGGGACGCATACCATAAATTATTTTGCGTCTTTGGGGATTTTTAAATATCAGGGACGCCACATGAAGTTTTGCAGTCGTTTTTACAGTATCTTATTCATTAGTGAAGAATAATCACGGCAGGGGAGGGGTGGGTGCTTAATAGACAAGGGAGACTTATTTACTTTCTTCCCCTGAAAAGGGAGGACTTATTTGAGAGGGGGGGGGGGGGGGGGGCTTTATAGAGGATTTACTGCATTTTCAAAATATTCCTTAAAATGAGCGCCTATTCACATACATGTATCTAATAGACATCACCTTTTTTCTCTAGTAGAGTACTCAGATCATCCCTTCTGATGTTCGAAAGTGCTTGTTTGAGTTGCTGGATAGTCAACGATTCGTACATAGATTTAAGGTGTTCAAACAGACGGATGGTTGGACTGCGGTCAGTATATGCTTCCAGGTCACTTATGACCTGTTCGTCAACTTTTACTTCCCTGGATAAGTGCACCCAGTTCGGCGTTACCCATGTTTCTCTGTCAAGACACAAAGCTAACTCTGTTTCCAAGTCTGGTTTCCTTCTTAGAACATCAACCAATAAAGACCCTGAAAAATTAACCGAAAATAGTTTATAATGCGTGTAATAAAAATGTGTCTTTGAAAGGTTTGAAGCCAGGAGTCATTTCATAAGTAGGTTGACGATGATTTTCCGGGTGAGCGTAGTCCTGAATAGGACTGTTGTTGTTGTTGACAGTGACTGACTGACCTGTGAGGAGGTCATCTTCAGAGACAAAGTGAGTTGTATCACGTCAGTTGATGGTATTAAACTCTGATCATTGACCTGATTAGTCCATTAAGTCGCGATGTTATTGGTCGTCTGTCAGTTAGGCCTTAATGTTATTGGCTATAAAGACTCGTGATGTCACTGGTGCGCTTCGATCGTTCTATTGTCACAGCTAAACAGTCTTTTTACTTTATTGTTAGCCAAATCGTCGGTTGCCCAGTCGTTCTCTCGTAGTTAGTTTGGCTTGAGTCCGCCAATAAGTCTTTTGTACGGTGCCGGTAACTGTTCACTACGATTCAGTGGCGCTTGTTCTAAGTTAAGTTACCTTCCGTAGTGCGAAGTTTGACAAAATCTATGGGACGAATTTTGAGATATCTCAGAATTTCTAGCATCCTAGAAGCTCGCGTCTATCTATAGAAAAGAACTCACAGTTGAAATATGCAGTCAGTATACCAGAAGAAATCTCGATTTGCTTGATCAGGGGCCGCATGGAATCGTTGGGTAATGATGGCGTTTCTATTGTTCGCGCCCGCATAGTACGAAATCGTTAGGAAGACACATATAAACACTTGAAGAGTTTGCCAGACACGAGTTTATCATTAACAAATCTTTGATTGGAAACGACTTGCCAGACACAATCTCTTTGCCAATACGATTCAGTCTAAAAACAAGCAAGTTTCCCTATGCAAACGAGTGAATCAACGCCGGGCTAGCTTATCGCTAGCAGAATGATGGACGATTACAGAAATTAACCGACAATTAAATTCTGTGCTGAACTCAAGTATTCCCTACTCACAAAAGTCCTTCTATAATGTTTTTTTTTTTTTGAATTATTGTCTTAATAGTTAACAAAAATGACTAGAACGCGCGAGCGTGAATTGATCAAACCTTTGAATTTCCAAGGCTTACTTTCCGACAAATAAATTGCACTACCGTATTTACTCGAATAGACGCCGCCCTCAAATAGACGCCGCACTGGAGACTCAAAATATTAATAGACGCCGCCCCCGAATAGACGCCGCGTCTACGGTGAGGCGTTTATTTGAGGAAATAATGATTTATAATAATTAGTAAAGAAAAGTCCATTTCAAGTTTAAACCAGCAATGGAAATTTATTTTCTTTTAGAACAACATTTTTTAGTTCAAAGTGATTGTACTATTTTGCTCTTGTGTTAAGTTCTCTTTCAAGAATTTTTGCAACGCGTAATTCTGCTGTTAATGTAGAGAACTTCGCTGATACTACAAGGGCGACTTCTCTCTTTCTCTTTCAAGTGACTCGTGCCTAAAGTTTGTTTTACTGTTACCCAGTAAAAAAGTTATCATATGTAGTACGATATTTAGTACTGAATAAAGTGATTTTTGAATAAACGCCGCCCCCGAATAGACGCCGCCATCGAATAAACGCCGCAGCTGGATCGTGAAAAATGAAATAAACGCCGCGGCGTCTATTCGAGTAAATACGGTATGTGTAAAACGTTGAAGAGAAATAGCGAAAAATTCCAACTTGTTATCAAATCTTTTCTTGTGGTTTGAAATAAAATATTCTCGAAACTGAGAATTTTTGATCAAAGCTGTGTAAATCGACCTGAATCAGCGCATGGAACCTTTGCCTTTCCTGTTTTTATCTCCCCTATTGTATGGAATATGTGTGAAATCTTCAATATGAATCGCGCGTCGGTAGATTTCAAAGAGCTACACAACGACCAAGAATACTATTGACCTACAATATACAGAACGGGGCCAGCTGAATGTCAACTATTGCTAGTTAATGCGTGAACTGAAGACAGGACTTAATGAAATCAAATTTGCCACTTCTTAGATGTTTCCAGAAAATTTTGCCTTATACACTTCCCAAAAGCAGGTAGATTTGCGCGATTTTGAACAATGCTTGTATCAGGTAAAAAAAAAAACAGCGCTGAGCAGTTGCTGCAGTTTTCAAGGCTACATTCATGAAAACAGTGACAATTTCCAGGGCTGCAATTGTTCAGTGTATAGTGGGACCCCGCTCTATGGACACCCACTTAATACGAGCCCCCGTATATAACGCACAGTTTCCTTTGTCCCGACGAAAAGCTGATATATTTTCTCTAAACTTAACCCGCTTAATACGGACACCGGTTAAAACGGACAACAGACACTTATCTATGTCCCGAGTCTCATATTCTCATCGTCAACCTCACTTTACGGACACTGGTTATCTGCGCACTGAGTTTAACTGAACACCCTGAGAATACTGATCTTACTAATGAAAACCTATCAGAAACAGCAAATGACCTTTTAAACGTTCCGTCGAATGTTAAGTCCACTTGGCTAAGTCACAAACTAAAAGCGCCATTACAAGTAAAGTCATGGATTTTATTGTCGTATTTCAAGACAAATACTTGAAAGATGGTTTTAGTCTGAAACTATGATAAATGATCTCGAGGTTTCTTAAGGATGAACTTAATAAAGTTATAGATATAAAGAAATTAACGTTTCCTTGTAAAAATGGCTGCTCTATTCTTTAGATCAATTAAACATTTGTCCATGACGTTTTTTCTGAGAGCTCGCTTTATACGCAAACCCGGATAATACGGACACTGTGCTTTGAAAAAGAAGATTCACATATAGTACAAATAAACAATACAATGGAGAAAAATTACCATATGATTAAAATAACCATTTTAATCAACCAAGCGTAGCCTGTGCCAGGGGGGGTACTGCCTATAATGGCCTTTACGGGGAGGCTCCGCCCGAAAGGGACACCTTTTTTAGGCTTCAGGCATATGAAAGGATAGGGATTTTACTCGTTGAAGTATACGAAAGGATAGGGAAATTTGTCATTTGGGTCTGTGAAAGGGCCCATAGGGCAAACAGATGAATTTTATGGCTTTATAAATTCGAGAAAACTTTCTATTTTTGTGATTGATTTCTATTTAAAAGGCAGTTCATTTACAGCACTCAAAAAGGATGCAAAGTTCTAAACAAGGTACTTGGAAGGTCGTACCATGTCATTAGAAGGTATAAGAAAGGGGTACCTTTTTCGTGAAAAATGGTATATAAGAGGGTAAGGGGTTGGACCTCGGGGCGGAGCCTCCCCGCATGAAAATTTGTAGAGTACCCCCCGGGAGCCTGCGTAGCAAGCCTTTCCGAAACGTCAAGTTGTTATATAAATACATAAGTTGACGTTTATCACCGCTGTTTATTTTCTATCCCAATAAAGCCACTGGAAACACCGGCGGATCTGCAGCACTGACCAGGCAACTTTTAAAACTTACCGCTTGGCAATATGATTTCGGACGGCCTGTGTTGCGGCGTTTTGAAGGGGCAGGAGAAGGGGAATGATTCGCTTCCCCTTCCGCCTTTAAACGCCTGTCACGAGAACCAATCCTTTTAGTATTGTTCATGTACGTCGCCAGAAACCCGAGCTAGTTCGCCTGAAATTTACAGTATCTTGCCCGAATTAAAAAATATTATGATTTGTATAATTATTAAATGAGGCTTAAATGAGGAAGTTACAGTACTTGATAAAGCTGAGAAGCAATGAATTCAACTAAGGCGAGCTAGAGTGACTCATGAAAACATACTCTTTGTCAATATTCTCGGCTAACAGTTAGCTGACAGTTTCAAATGTACCACTAACGAACTCCTTGCTTTTGATCTTAGTCACTCACGCCAACAATACACATCTCTCGCCGATCGTATGGCTATGCTGTTCCGGCATTTACTTATAAAACAAGATAACTTTACTAACCTATCGAAAGGTCTGAAAAGTCGTCATCTTCGAAATCTTCGTCTTCTGAAGAACACATTGTCCAAGCCGATTTCTCATTATAGCAGAGCGTTCAGATTCGGAGTACTAGTCGTATGCGAAGTCACAAGAATGACCATCATTTACATCTTTCTCTGATTCGATCCGCTGATTCGCTAATTAGTAGTGGGCCATTAGAGCGTTTTCACTCACGTAGCCAGCATCTATGCAAATTTATTGGCACAAAAGAAAGTGTTTACATAAGAAAAGAATTCAACTCCCACAGGATTGGTTTGGGACACTAACATGGCCGCCGTTTCATTGTTTGAGACACCGATATGGCCGCCGTGACGTCATGTGAAAACACTCTTTTAATGACCCAATTGACAGTACTGTTGTCACTCAGCCATTGCTGATTGGTGTTACGCTTGATCAGTGACATCAGAAGACGTACGTGTACCATTCTTGTGTGTTCACTGGAAAACGAAAAAAAAATTCTTGCTTTTTTTCCCCAGCATGCAATGCAGTCAGTCATGATGTTGAACAAAACGCTGTAGTCCTGTACCCTGGGTTCCAGAGGATACTTTTTCTTATTGATACTGATGGTTTGCGGCGAAGCCGCGTCAACGAGGCGCGAAGCGCCAAGAGAAGAGAATGACCTCTGGTCACAGGAGCTACGAGTCTCATTTCCAGGCAATTTTAGGATCATACTATCTCATCAAAAAGGTTTGGAGCTGACGTGCATGTTTGTTTTCATTGACGCTGACAGCTGAGATTTGATTGTACATGACTCTGCGTTCGATCTGCTATGCATGAAAAAAGAATTGCGAGAAAGCTTACTTAAAAAGGAAAGTGCTATTAAAAATTGTCACAAATTCTTTTCCAAAAAAATACACTTTAAGTTTCAAATATATAAAAAGGACAGAAGTCAGCTGAGAAGTTCCCACTCTGTATGGTTTTAGAAGTCAACGGGATAAAAAGAATTTCCGGTCCGCGACACTTGTATTACTGTATTAGGTCAAAATAAATACTGCTAGGCAAAACGCGTATGCCAAACAAAACATCATTCTGCTGCATTTTTTAGCAAAAAAAAACCGCGCTGCGAACTATCAGGAAAAAAAAGAAAAACCTTTACACCCAAGTTAATATCCTTGAGAATGCAGAACTGAGGCCAGCAAGACAAAGCAAAGCAGGAAATCATCACATTCATTCAAAGTAAGTCGTTTGGTAGGAAAAGTTTAAACAAAGCTTCTTCCTCAAGCAACGTTGATTCAGCTGTCGGATGTTCGCTTAAACTATTCCGAAGTTTAGCCAGAGACTGCTTAGCCACACTTCCAAAAGGAAACATGCAGATATGCAAGCCGAGATCTCCAAATTACACAGCCAATCAAGTTCACTGTTACAGTGTTAATTCCCTGCGGACGTGGGAGTAACCGATCGGCGACCCAGTTCAGATTCTGAACTGATTTCTCGCATGGAAATGAGGTTGCTTGCTTGTGTGACCGGAGGTCCGTCTCGGGATCCGGTAGGTACTTCATATATGATTATTATTATGTACCTAAACATAATTATTATATCTTACTATATATTATTATTATTACACTATAAACACCTATACCCCTATACAACACCATATACCCCTGTATACCCCTATTACACACCATATACCCCTATACAACGCTATATGCCCCTATATACCCCTATACAATACCATATATCCCTATATACCCCTATACAACACCATATACCCCTATATACCCCTATACAACGCCATATACCCCTATATACCCCATACAACACCATATACCCCTATATACCCCTATACAACACCATATACCCCTATATACCCCTATTACACACCATATACCCCTATACAACACTATATGCCCCTATATACCCCTATACAATACCATATATCCCTATATACCCCTATACAACACCATATACCCCTATATACCCCTATACAACGCCATATACCCCTATATACCCCATACAACACCATATACCCCTATATACCCCTATACAACACCATATACCCCTATATACCCCTATTTACACCATATACCCCTATACAACACTATATGCCCCTATATACCCCTATACAATACCATATATCCTTATATACCCCTATATACAACACTATATACCCCTATATGCCCTTTATACAACCCCTATATAACCTTATATACCCCCTATATACCCCATACAACACCATATACCCCTATATACCCCTATACAACACCATATACCCCTATATACTCCTATTACACACCATATACCCCTATACAACACTATATGCCCCTATATACCCCTATACAATACCATATATCCCTATATACCCCTATTACACACCATATACCCCTATACAACACCATATACCCATAAACAACACCATACACCCCCATACATCACCATACACCCCTTTACATCGCCATATACCCCTATACAACACCATATACCCATATACAACACCATATACCCCTATACAACACCATATACCCCTATATACCCCTATTACACACCATATACCCCTATACAACACCATATACCCATAAACAACACCATACACCCCCATACATCACCATACACCCCTTTACATCGCCATATACCCCTATACAACACCATATACCCATATAGAACACCATACACCCCAGTACATCACCATACACCCCTTTACATCGCCATATATCCCTATACAACACCATATACCCATATACAACACTATACACCCCTATACAACACCATATACCCCTATACAACACCATATACCCATATACAACACCATATACCCATATACAACACCATATACCCATATACAACACCATATACCCCCATACATCACCATACACGCTTTACATCGCCATATACCTATATACAACACCATATACCCACATACCCCTATACAACACTATACACCCCTATACAACACCATATACCCCTATACAACACCGTATACCCATATACAACACCATATACCCCCATACATCACCATACACCCCTTTACATCGCCATATACCTATATACAACACCATATACCCACATACCCCTATACAACACTATACACCCCTATACAACACCATATACCCCTATACAACACCGTATACCCATATACAACACCATATACCCCCATACATCACCATACACCCCTTTACATCGCCATATACCCATATACAACACCATATACCCCTATACAACACCATATACCCCTATACAACACCATATACCCCTATACAACACCATATACCCATATACAACACCATATACTCCTATACATCACCATACACCCCTATACATCACCATACACCCCTGTACATCGCTATATACCCCTATACAACACCATATACCCATATACAACACCATGTACTCCTATACATCACCATACACCCCAGCATATCACCATATATCCCTATACATCACCATACACCCCTATACATCACCACACACCCCTATACATCGCCATATACCCCTATACAACACTATATACCCCTATACAACACCATTTACCCATATACAACACCATGTGCTCCTATACATCACCATACACCCCAGCACATCACCATACATCCCTATACATCACCATATATCCCTATACAACACCATATGCCCCTATACAACACCATATACCCATATACAACACCATATACTCCTATACATCACCATACACCCCTATACATCACCATACACCCCTATACATCACCACACACCCCTATACATCGCCATATACCCCTATACAACACCATATACCCAAATACAACACCATGTACTCCTATACATCACCATACACCCCAGCACATCACCATATACCCATATACAACACCATATACTCCTATACATCACCATACACCCCTATACATCACCATACACCCCTGTACATCGCCATATAGCCCTATACAACACCATATACCCATATACAACACCATGTACTCCTATACATCACCATACACCCCAGCACATCATTATATACCCATATACAACACCATACACCCCCATAAATCACCATACACCCCTTTACATCGCCACATACCCCTATACAACACTATATACTCATATACATCCCCATACACCCCTATACTTTCCCATACACCCCTATACATCACCACACACCCCTATACATCGCCATATACCCCTATACAACACCATATACCCAAATACAACACCATGTACTCCTATACATCACCATACACCCCAGCACATCACCATATACCCATATACAACACCATATACTCCTATACATCACCATACACCCCTATACATCACCATACACCCCTGTACATCGCCATATAGCCCTATACAACACCATATACCCATATACAACACCATGTACTCCTATACATCACCATACACCCCAGCACATCATTATATACCCATATACAACACCATACACCCCCATAAATCACCATACACCCCTTTACATCGCCACATACCCCTATACAACACTATATACTCATATACATCCCCATACACCCCTATACTTTCCCATACACCCCTATACATCACCATACACCCCTATACAACACCATACATCCCTATACATCCCCATACACCCAATATATTCCCATACATCCCTATATATCACCATACACCCCTATACAACACCATACATCCCTATACATCCCCATACACCCCTCTACGTCCCCATACACCCTATAAATTCCCATACGCGTCTTTATACATCACCATACAACCCTATATAGTACTTTTATGTGTGTCATTGTCCCATTTTATTTCTAGATGCCTTACATTCAGCAAAGCATATATAGCATTAATTCTTGTCAAAGCTCGCCACTAGTGGTGTGCCGGCATAGCATGGTTGCTCCCGTGGTGGTATAGCTGTCTGCAAAAAGTCATTTAATTGCTTAAGTTCCAAAAAGATGGTGGCTTAAAAAGCTCAATCTAACATCACGTCGCAGTCACGCAACGGCAAAGTAAAGTCGTAGTGTTTTGCTAATCCAAGCATATTCTTATTGTTTTGGGGGCGTTCTCGTTGGCTTCGTTTTCGTCGTTTCTTGGTTCGAAGAGTAAGCCGGCCGACTTGTGCCGTTATGGGACTGGGGGGTAGAGGGGGGGAGGGGGCGGTGAGATTAAACATGGACTGAAGCGACTGCAAATGCGTCTGATTTCCGCAGTTCCTCCGCAATTCTGCTACTAGTTCCAAGGTCAGTAGAGAAAACATTATTTATTTAATTCATCTATTCATTTATTTTCATTATTGGTATATGACCTTCAAATTTCAAGTTCATCAATAAAAAACGATATTGAATTATTATATGTACTGGATGGAGATACCATACTCTGTTGAGCTTTTCACTGAAAATCTAATTCACAAATAGCAGATAGGTATATTTGCTAAATACACTGCAATTATTGTCGGTAACTAAAATTTATTTAGTGTATATCCACTCAGGCTTGGTGTTTTTGGGCAGTCTGATTGGTTGATAGTTATCTTCTAGGCCAAGCTCTTTCACAGTATATAATCAACAACAGCATAAATAAACTTCAGACATTCATTAATAATTCATTAAAAACAAAACAAAACAAAGAAATTTTTGTTTGTAAAATGAGTGTCTTTATGTCTGATAAAAAAAAAAACGGCTAACCTTTACGTTCAATTGTTAGGCCATAATAACCACAAATCTAAATATATTTGTGCAAAAATGAGTTCATCTATAAAATTAGCGGAGAATTTGAAGCCATTCAAAACAACTCGCAACTCGCAATTGTGTATTACCAGGTGTAAAACCTCTCGGCTTCACAAATTTTTTAAACCTGATTATACACTCATGCACATTTTTTTAAACATGCAGTGCACCTTTCCCTCAATTCGCCTATGATCTCTGACCCGAGGTTAAATTTGTAACCCTGTTCCTTTTTCTTGTTCAAAAGCTCAACAATGACTATGTTCTGACAAATGTGCGATTTTTGCCGCTACTTGAGCTGTACTTTTTCGTTCAATCGTTAAAGACATTTCCTTAACCTTGTCCGATTCTGCAACAAAGTTGTACAGCGTTGAAAAGTTTGATGAATTTCTTGGAAGCTCTCTAATGAAGAGAATTTCTTTACAAACTACTAGACACAATGTTTCTAGCAGTCTCCAAGGTCCCGAGGTCACTGGAGCTTTCTGTCTTTCCATAAACTCTTTTCCTCGTTGTCTCTTGTAGGTTGAAATGGTAGCTCTCCTTCTCTTTCTTCCTGTGCCTGGTGAAGCGGAAACACCGCCAATTTGAAAGATATTTGCACAGTTGTAACATTTGCATGACTCGGTACACCCGAGTCCTTCGGCAACGCATGGACATTTTGTTTTTCTTTTTCCATCTCTGCACGATACACGACCTTTATCTTCTTTGTTTAAGGTATTACCACATGTACATCCGCGTTTGCGTTTGCGTGTTTCGCCTAATTACCTCTCTCCCTCAAAGGCAGCATTATTTTTGTTCTTACAATTGAAGCAGCGACATTTTCTTGAGCACGCTTGACTTTTTCTGTTACAAGGACATTTAGAAGATGTGCAAGCCATTTTGGAAGGGTCTTTAACATTCTTGCCACAGGTACATCTGGTTTTAGTGTCATTTCCTTCCGTTTCATCATTCGAATTCAGAAATTCTGGAAACATACCAGAGAAAAAATACAGTGTAAGTAAAACCTCTCAAAGGAATGGTAACCCTCGTTGTTATCATCATCATCATCATCATTATCATGATTAATTATTATTATTACAATTATTATTATCCTATGGACTAGTTGATTTTTAAGATATCCACGTTTCAAATGATAGATACTCGTTTTTTTCTTCATCTGTAAATAAGAGAGTATCTTCTTTGATATTTATGATTGAGTGATTGCCAATCCAATAGGTAATAACGAGTTCGGAGAGCATGGGATGGCGTAGTAGCTCGCAGTAGTGAAAGCGCTCGCCTCCCACCAGTGTGGCCCGGTTTTAAATCCCGGCGTCGACGCCATATGTGGTTGAGTTTGTTGTTCTTCCTCTCCTTTGCTCCGAGAGTTTTTTTTTTTTTGCCGGTAGCATTTCCAAATCCCAATTCGATCAGGAATCAGGTAGAAGAAGAACCACTTTGTGGATGTGCTACCTCTAAATCGTTATTTATTTCTTTATATATTTATTTGCTTATTTAGAAGACCTTTATAAACACACACGGGCAGGAAAACGTACAAATGCCAATAACAAAATCATCCAAGCAAACGTGCTACACTTAAACTAGGCTTAAGACGGAATCCATCGGGAAATTGAGTAATTTTGATTTTCAGTGAACAAAAACCTTGTACCAGAACAATTTAAATAATATCGCATTCTTTTTCACATTTTTCAAGGGCTATGGATATATAAACAGTTATCTGTAATGACACCAAAGACTATTTCTGATGGGAGCCCGAGAAAATAAATGTCAAATTTCACGAGAATTGTGAAAACACAGGTAAAGTTCTGAAAATTTCACGTGTAAGGTGTCATTTTGTGAAATTTGACATTTATTTTCTCTGGCTCTCATGAGACATTTTCTTTTCACATTCTTTGGTGTTACAGATAACTAATTGCATCCATAGCCCTTGAAAATATCAAAAAAAGAATGCGATGTTGTTTGAATTATTCTGGTATTTTTGTACAATGAAAATTTAAATTACTCAATTTCCTGGTGGATTCCGTCTTAATGCCTTATGCATGCTTATTTACCTTTTGTAGCGTCATAATGCCCTGGACCTGAATGGTCGTACGCCAGATACATAGGTACAGCAGTGATGAAATGTTTTGGTAAAAATGGAATGGATGGGACATTAGGCAAAGCTGTAATTACAATTATCGGGACACGGAGGAGATTAGCACATGCCTTAGCACAGATGTCGCCAATGTCACTTGCGAAATGGCCATCAGTTTTAAAACGTTCAATTTCCCGTACATTTGACGAACAGGACATCCACTCCCTGTATTCATCGAGATTCTCAGTGACTTCACGCACGAAAAGTAGTCTGAGGTTTTCCGTGTCACGTTCCTCGTTGATTCCAAGCCCCAGTGAGGAAATATGCTGTAGATTTTGCAAATCCGAACGTTGCAAGTGTTTTTGTAGCTGCCGGGCTGTTGCTCTGAAGAAGCAGTTTCCGTCTTTGTGAATTGGGTCCAACTGAAGATTAAATCCTGTGAGATTTCTTAACAGGTTATCTTTGTGCTGTGGGGTCAAATTTAATTCCATAACGTTTATCTTTGACTCCTGTTCATAAAGGTTAGCTGCCGGTAAGTTTATCTTCCAGAGAAGACCAATCAAATCTATTGTTTTGTTGTTACATTTTGTTGTCCAACTGGTGATAAATTCTTGTATGTGCAGCGCTCGTTCCAAAATGTAGTTCAAGACGGAATCGTTTTCCAGTTCTTCCACAGTCTTAACTGTGACGAAAACGGATGATGTCCCTGGCATTCTACTAGCCTTACTGCTATTTTCAGAGACAGTTCCAGATATTGAATCCGGTAATGACGTTGACGTAGAATCCACAGCCGTCATGTGAGACTGAAGATAAGGGGTCGCTTGGTTTAAAGACTCTAAAGGCTCTAATTCAATTGGCGTGATCGGAATTGTTCTCTTATTGAGGGTTGTTTTTAATCTTCGTTGCAATTCCATGCATACAAAGCACACGCCTTTACCGCTACCGCCAACTCAGGTCCAATTTTGGATACTCCGCACAGTAATGATCGGTTAAGATGTCTGTGAAGTCGCTCATTTATTTCAGTCCCACATCCAACAGGTATTTCCGAGAGACATCCTTTTTTTATATGCTTGCGCAAATTTTCAATTTGAAGAAGGGTGTCCGTTTTCAGCTTTTCTCTCCAAACAAATAGAAGACGTTCAAGATTTGATTCTATTTCATCAGGACAAGGTGTGCTCATTGTTCTCTCGTTACCAAGGTCTTCATTTTGACGGAAAATTAAAGAAAATTCATTAGCAAGTTGTTTACTGTAATCTTCGCTTTTGGGTACCGTTTGTACAACTCTCATACACGCGTGAAATAAGTCTAGCCGAACCTTTATCCCCGGGAATATTTGTCCATATAGGTGCATCACGTGGCAACAGTCATCCACTATTATCATTTTTAAGTTAGTGCTTGCCTTATCAAGCCTCTCTTTCAGTTCTTTAAGTGAGTCGATAATTTCGGACGAAGAAGTCGTCTTCGTAAACTTCCATATCATAACTTCTCCGTTTTCGTTCACCCCCAAGAAGACGTTTTTAAACTGGCCTACAAACTTGCCGTCCTCGCGGGTTACCCCGATATGTTTACTCGTTCTAAAGGTGTGGTCACAGGACAGAATCTCCCCTGTGTGTTTCTGCATGTTATTCTCATAACGTTTTTGTTCCGCTCAAACTGCATGAGAAACAAATCCATTAGTTTATCGTTGCTTGGATAGGCAATGAAAGGAATACTCTCAAACTCCTTTACAGATAACTCTTTGCTGTCCGGTTTATTACGCATGTACTGTCTGTAATTCATTGATGCAATGCCTTCAGATAATTCCATGAAGTTTTGTCCTTGATAAATACCAGTTATTAAATAATCATAAAGACGCAGCGTAAAACCGCTTCTCTGCTGCATTATAAGAGGAAATCCCTTAACAACACTTTCAGGGAGAGCGCCTAACACATCGTTTGATGCGGACAAATACCGATGTCCAATCATCACGTTTTCTGGCAAAACTTTCACTGCATTCATAGAACGCCTGCACCAGAATAACATTTCCGTTCAAGTCGTAAATCAATCTTGGGTTTCTTGGACTTGTGTTGGAGGAGTCAGGAAGATCGGTCCACTGTCCGACTTTCAGAGGACAGCCATGAACAGGACATAAAATAGTCAAACCGTAATGTCTTATTGGACACCAGATAAATAATTTTGGTATTAATTTTGACATAGCGTGTGGCCCTTCAACAATTTGATCAAACCTTCCATTTTGCGGTGTACACTCAAACTCTCTTAAGACATCCCGCAGATATTGTCCTGCTTCTTTTCCAAGAAGAACACAGATGATTGTTTTAAATCCCAAAACAAAGAATAAGCAACAAACAATGATTAAATTTCTCATTATGTCCCCTTGATGTCGAACATCTAACTGTCGCTGGGTGGCATCGATCTTGGTAATATACGGTTCAGCCGGGATCAAAGTGCTACAAAGCTTGTGCAATTTATTTCGCAACGTTTTACTTAGTTATATTACTCCACGAGCCATAGTTCATGTGACCTACCAAATTAAGCCGTTTAATGCATGTCCATGAAAGTCAGGAAGTACATTCAATATACCTTAGTAAAGTGTGAGCATTTTTTTGTTCATTTTTGTTTTTGTTTGGCATCGCGGGTCGGGTATTATCCAATAAAAAGCTAAGAAAACTGGTACCCTTTTTAAGGCCCAAAGCCGAAAAAATGACACCCTATTCAAGAAAAAAAAACAAACATGTGGCTTGAAGAGGCGTTACGTGTATTTACCCGCTTAACGTCTATTAAACCTCTGTTGCAAAATCAAAACCGTTCGTTTAGGCGCGCATTTTCCCACTCCAGTATTGGATAATGCAATTAACCTACCCTATCTAAGGACCACACCAGGGACACAGAAACAAAAGGGTCAAGAAAGATACCCTATTTAAGGACCGAGAACTTCAAAAACCATACTCTATTGCGCGGCACGTACCTATATAGCCCATATATGGGAGTACCCCCCCCCCCCTGGGGAATAGATACTGTTCTTCAAAACCCATACGTTAATCCTTCCAAGAACTTCGCGTACAGAGGTGTATGGTGATGTATAGGGGTGTATGGTTATGTATGGAGTGTATGGTTATGTATAGGGGAGTATGGTGATGTATAGGGGTGTATGGTTATGTATGGAGGTGTATGGTGATGTATAGGGGTGTATGGTGATGTATAGGGGTGTATGGTGATGTATAGTGGTGTATAGTGATGTATAGGAGTGTATGGGAATTTGTAGGGGAGTATGGTGATTTATAGGGGTGTATGGGGATGTATAGGAATATATGGTGTTGTATAGGGGTGCATGGTTACGTATGGAGCTGTATGGTGATGTATAGGGGTGTATGGTTGTGTATGGAGGTGTATGGTGATTTATAGGGGTGTATGGTGATGTATAGGGATGTATGGTGATGTATAGAGGTGTATGGTGATGTATAGGGATGTATGGTGATGTATAGGGGTGTATGGTTATGTATGGAGGTATATGGAGATGTATAGGGGTGTATGGTGATGTATAGGGGTGTATGGTTATGTATGAGGGTGTATGGTGTTGTATAGGGATGTATGGTGATATATAGAGGTGTATGGTGATGTATAGGGGTGTATGGTGATGTATAGGGATGTATGGTGATGTGTAGGGATGTATAGTGATGTGTAGGGGTGTATGATGATGTATAGTAGTGTATGGGAATGTATAGGGATGTATGGTGATGTATAGTAGTGTATGGGAATGTATAGGGATGTATGGTGATGTATAAGGGTGTATGGTTATGTATGGAGGTGTATGGAGATGTATAGGGGTATATGGGGGTATATGGTGTTGTATAGGGGTATATAGGGGTATATGGTATTGTATAGGGGTATATAGGGGTATATGGTGTTGTATGGGGTATATAGGGGTATATGGTGATGTATAGGGGTATATGGGGGTATATGGTGTTGTATAGGGGTATATAGGGGCATATAGTGTTGTATAGGGGTATATGGTGTTGTATAGGGGTATATAAGGGTATATGGTGTTGTATGGGGTATATAGGGGTATATGGTGTTGTATAGGGGTATATAGGGGTATATGGTGTTGTATAGAGGTATATAGGGTATATGGTGATGTATAGGGGTATATAGGGACATATAGTGTTGTATAGGGGTATATGGTGTGTAATAGGGGTATATAGGGGTATATGGTGTTGTATAGGGGTATATAGGGGTATATGGTGTTGTATGGGGTATATAGGGGTATATGGTGTTGTATAGGGGTATATGGTGTTGTATGGAGTATATAGGGGTATATGGTGTTGTATAGGGGTATATAGGGGTACTGATGGTGTTGTATAGGGGTATATAGGGGTATATGGTGATGTATAGGGGTATATAGGGGCATATAGTGTTGTATAGGGGTATATAATTGTATAATACGGTATAAAGGGTATATGGTGTTTGTATAGGGGTATATATAGGGGTATATGGTGTTGTATGGGGTATATAGGGGTATATGGTGTTGTATAGGGGTATATAGGGGTATATGGTGTTGTATAGGGGTATATAGGGATATATGGTATTGTATAGGGGTATATAGGGGCATATAGTGTTGTATAGGGGTATATGGCGTGTAATAGGGGTACATAGGGGTATATGGTGTTGTATAGGGGTATAGGTGTTTATAGTGTAATAATAATAATATATAGTAAGATATAATAACTATGTTTAGGTACATAATAATAATCATATATGAAGTACCTACCCGGGATCCTTATCAAACCGTAAGCACGGTTTTTCATATTAGGTATTTTGAGAACGGACCTCTGGAGCCAGGGTCAGTAGTCCTGTAGCTCGGCCCGAGAAACTGCTAATAAGACCAAAAAAGTTACCTCTACGCTAGAACAGGGACTGAATTTTAATGTGAATGTCGACTTTTGGTTTTGCAACGACGATTTCTGTAAAAAACCTTGCCTGCGTCACGCTCTAAACCTTCTGTAAGGAGCGACTAAATAGAGAGACTATATTAATGGTTTAGACGAGTGCGTGGGCCGGCTGCAACGCACGCTATTAAAAAACCTGAAGACAAAAAATGTGATAAGTGTGTCGTTTTTTCTATGACGTTAATAACGGTCATTTTTGTTCTTGTCCAAATTCAAAAATTAATATTTTGCAAAGAGAGCTGAGATTTTTTTTATTGGATATTCCTAATTGTAGGACTTTCTACTCAATGCTCACAACTGCGCACCATCGAGAAAGTTGCAATGTTTTATGAAAAGCAGTGTGGTCTAGACCCCGTCTAGATCTTGTACGGCCGGTCTCGTTCGGCACTGCCGTCAATGGGTTAAGGCGTTCCAATGAGCACCGCATATAATAGCGAAACTTCTGTCAGCGGCTACAACACCCCAGGGAATACTCCCTCCAGACTGTCCTCCCTCCACGGAAATGTGCCACTGGACAGGGTATGATTTTTGTCCTCTCTGTCCTAAATTTAACAGGGTATGATTTGGGCGAGTTTGTCCTAATACCCCACTCCCCTCGCTGTTTTTCCTGCTCACATCTCTTGAGTCTTCGAGTCGTCCGCTATTGCCTGCACGATTGATTTGATTTGCTTGATGGAATTGATTGTACTCCAAGTGCACAAAGGCAATGACAGACCCAGCGTGCAAAGAAAGTCATGTCCGATAGCCCGGGGCTAGTAGATTTTGCTATCGGGCTAGTGTTTTATGGGGGGGAAATTCAAATTATCGAAGGATTGTACACTGATGGTAATCAATCCTGCTAATCAAAAAGGTTTTTGGGGCTAACTACAGCTTGCCCGAATGGCAGGCGGTAAAACTGACTTTCTTTGCACCCTGACACCATAACGTGAATTTACAATTTATGCCTATGACGGCTTTCAAACAGGACGGCGTGTTTATGTCTTGCTTAGTTGAAATCGAGCAAGGATAGTGGTGAAGACCACAGGCGGCCCAGACGTAGTATGTGTCACTGAATGAATATATGAATATCCACATGGACAAATTATTGCGATGAGTCGTCGAAACTCTCATGGACTAAAATAGTCTAAAAGTCAAAATATAACAAAACAAAGCTAAGATACCTTTAACTGAACGTATCCTTGTCTTTCCTGGCTGGTTTAAGCGGCATTTTGTTGAGTTTTGAAATTGTAGGTACTATCCACTAAAGAAGAATTAAAGGCTGGCTACAAAACAAACAGACCATCTCCACGCGCCTTCACACGAAGCGCTATAAATTCGAGAATAATCGACGAATCTGCTCCAAATAACCATCGGCTAATTTGCAGGTAACGTGTGCTCCTGCTTCTGGCTCGCTTGCTCCACAAAACCCATCGCAACTGCACAATAATTGCTCGCTCATCAACAACCACTGTTGACCTTTACGCTTCGATATGACCGCAAACGACCAGGTTTAATACGCGTCGTGACGCGACGTGAATATTCAAGCTTAGCGACCGCGTTCGCGCAACAATGCAGCACTTGCTATGGGAGGGATGGTACTATTGCTTCCAGGTCAATCAATCGGGAAAATAATATTGAAGCCCATGTAATTTTTAAAAAGATCCAATTTGCCCAAGGAGCACCGAACAGATACGAATCTTATAGCGGACCTAAAAAAAATGAGCGGCAGTGGAAAAAGTGAACAAGAACATATACCACATTTTCTCCATAAAAAGTGAAAACCAGGAAGTTTTCTGGACGTTTCACGTTGAAGTCATGCAAATCAACGGCAAGAAAATGTACAAGAAAGTGTGCTGCAATTAGACCTATTGTTGTTTTTCACAGTTCTGGTCAAGGGCATCCAACTTTTAATTTTTCACATTTCACTCACCGGGTTAGGCTATTTTTCGTAGAGAGTAAAATGGAATCCTAAAATTTTCGGATTCAAAAATGTGATGAAAGAAGGTATCTGAAAAATTATCTCCTTCGTAATACGTTAAATTGCATCTAAAATTTTCGGGAAAATAATTCTGAATTCCTCGTAATTTTGAAAAGACTCAAGTTCCTCTAGAATGGCCGAACACTGAGATGCAAATTTTATAGCGCCACTTAGAATGCATTTCTATAGAGCTAAAAGCACTTTATGAATAGCTACAGAAGTGTTTTCAATTGAAAGTATTTGAGGAAACAGTCGTTGGGTGGCCCTGTCTCGTTGCCTTCTCCGCTTAGCATTACACGATATATTTTATATTTAGTATGAGCAAACTATAAATCATTAGCTTCGCTTTTAGCCCTCCTGACTAAATTTATGTAAGCGCTGTTTAGAATGCATGCAAAAGCACTCTGGACAGCCTTAAATGTGTTTTCAATGCCTTTAGGGGGAAATCATCGTTGGGTGCCCCTGAGTTTTGAGAATAATAATAATAATAAAAAAAGATATCGCGCACATAAATTTTACTTTACGATATCTTCAGCTGTATCTTCTATTCAGCTGCATAGCGGGGGCCAGATTTTGCCTTTTTCCTGGGCGGAAAATTCTCGTCCTCCTTCACCAGTTTGGACAACATATTATGGAGTAAGACGTTGTTAATCTAAGCAAATAAGTCTGGTAGAGTCAAGAACCTATGCAAGCGGCTGGACGAACAATGTGACAGCAGCTGAGACAGCGAACGTTAGAAGAATTCGAACTTGAAAACCAGGGCTGCCCTGTTGAAAACTTACGGACGGTCCCGCAATCGCCTTTTGTTTTCTGGTCAAAACTAACGCAGCTAACCTTCGGTCAGTCGATTGACCTAGAAGCAATAGTACCATCCCTCCCATAGCAAGTGCTGCATTGTTGCGCGAACGCGGTCGCTAAGCTTGAATATTCACGTCGCGTCACGACGCGTATTAAACCTGGTCGTTTGCGGTCATATCGAAGCGTAAAGGTCAACAGTGGTTGTTGATGAGCGAGCAATTATTGTGCAGTTGCGATGGGTTTTGTGGAGCAAGCGAGCCAGAAGCAGGAGCACACGTTACCTGCAAATTAGCCGATGGTTATTTGCAGCAGATTCGTCGATTATTCTCGAATTTATAGCGCTTCGTGTGAAGGCGCGTGGAGATGGTCTGTTTGTTTTGTAGCCAGCCTTTAATTCTTCTTTAGTGGATAGTACCTACAATTTCAAAACTCAACAAAATGCCGCTTAAACCAGCCAGGAAAGACAAGGATACGTTCAGTTAAAGGTATCTTAGCTTTGTTTTGTTATATTTTGACTTTTAGACTATTTTAGTCCATGAGAGTTTCGACGACTCATCGCAATAATTTGTCCATGTGGATATTCATATATTCATTCAGTGACACATACTACGTCTGGGCCGCCTGTGTGAAGACGCGATACCACGAGGGCTCGGTCAGCTGTTATAAACCAAGACAATCATACATCACCATACATGAAGTGCCTACCAAACAAAATGGCCGACGTGTGAAGTACAGTTTCTCCTGCGATCGTCTTGTGGAAGTAAACCGAAAAAGGTTACTCAGAAACGAAATGTGAGCCGTAATGTCTTGTTCCGTGCCGGTGTTTGCTTGTATTCAAGATGTGGACAGAGTTATTTCGATATTAAATGACGCTCCAACAACTGGAGAAGAGGACGTTAAAGAAAGTACCGGTGAGTCAACTTTCCACGAATGACTCTATATTTCTAATAGGCTACAAGATTAAAGTCATTCTGAAGTCTCCTTTATGGCCCTATGAAACTAAAATACAGCAATAAATTATTAAAATAAGGGGAATGGGCCTTTTTTACAGTTGTGTGCTCAGTGCCCTGGCCTTTGAATAGAAGCGAGGCTGGCAATGACCTTGTTTGTTTATACAAACTTTGTTGTTTTTCATGAGTAAATGATCATGTTCACGGGGGAATACCACGATTTGCACATGAAAAACAAGAAGGTTTAGAACAAAACAAGGTCACTGCCAGCATCACTTCTATTCAAAGGCCAGGGCACCAAGCACACAACTGTAAAATGGCCTATTGCACCTGCAAAATGTTAGTCTGTGTCAGCATTTCTCACCCTCCGGGGGGATGGGGTACTTCCTTATAAGAGGCTAATAAGGGATGTGCCGCTGGATGGGGTCGCATTTTCACGACTGGATTGACTATAATGGGGAGCATTTTCAATGGAGCTACTAGAAGGGGGTCGCACATTCGCGGGGTCGTGGTTTTTGGGGTATGAAGTTCTTCACTGATTTTACAGTTAGCAAATGTACCAGAATGTTTGTACTGTAGGTGAAAAGTAAAGTGTTCCGTATTCATTCAATTTAAAAAATGGGTCAATTCATTTTAGGATGACCTATTTAAAGGATTGATAAGGTAGATACATAAAATTAATAGAAGGTAACTCAGTTGGGATCACAAAAATTACATTTTCCTAAAAGTGACTAAGGTGGGGTCTATAGTTGACCTCAGGATGAACTATAATGGGACATGGGCTCTAAGAGGCCAGGAGCACATGCCTAGCAAAAATTAATCCAGGTGTTTACTGGAAATCATGTCTGACCACAGTTAAGATTTCATCAGACGTGAGCTATATTAGTCAGACCTCTTTGTCCAATGACTAACTACACTGTTATTGGGCTATAACATTTAATATTTTCCCCCCCTCTGTTGAGAACTTACAGTACCTTTTCTTCTTGGTCCTTGAAGATTAAATAAAATTGCATTCACCCCTGAAGACTTTCATCAAATATGGGTTTACCCCTTAAAGAGAATGGGTGTGCCCCGGAAGAATTTTAAGAAAATTAAATTAAAGCTCCATCCCGAAAGAATTCCATATATTTTTTTACTCTACCCCTAGAGAAAAAATTAAAAAATCCTCAATGTGTATAAATTCCATTTTTCCTCAACTGGCGGGGGGTGATGGGGGTGGGTGGGTTTTACAGGTGTTTAATTCAATAGCCTTTGCAGCTCTGCAATACATGATTTTTCATTTCAGCGGGATGGGAAGTTGACTGTGAAGAGTGGGGCTGGACGGTAAGAACAAGTTAATAATAGTTATGTATATTAGTACGGTATTGTTTTACCGACACAATAATCACTTTGCAGGATTCAAAAGTTGGAAGCATTGTACACTGAATTAAATGTTAGATAAAATAAAATCCGTATTTCTAATTCATGTTAGAGGTCAGTCCTCTGTATAGATGCTTTTTCCCAATAATCAATATCATAATACCAGTGTAGTCAATTGAACCAGATCAAACTCAATCAAACCCTGTCGGTCGATTGTTGTTTGATTGGTTTGGTAATCAAGCATATTCAAATCAAACTGGACCTTTTTGGTGAGTTTGATTTATCAAACTTGTGAGCTCAATTGCCTAACTCAAACAAGCCAATCAAACCAAATTGACCTGATTTTTTCTATTTTGTTTGGCAGGAAGACTTGTACATGTACGAATGTGAGAAACACGTTTCAATTAACTAAAAGCTTTGTTTTTAAATTAATTCAAAATCGATAAATTCACAATTAATACTTGTTACCAACCATTCGATTAACCACTAGGTATAATTTTTCTTTGTTATCTGCCCCATGCACAGATTTTGAAAAGTGTCAAATCCCCCAAGAGCTAGGTACTGCCTTTTAAAAGTTATGGCAGTGATTGTTGTATTGCCCAGGGTCATTTTGCAGGGCTGGAAAAAAGTCCCATAATAAGGTAGTCAGGGACAAGCAGATTTTCTTGCTGGGCAAGTAATTTTTAAAGCTCACCTGCCCAATGTAAAAGGGTCCAAGCAAGTCATCTCTTAAGTAAATGATTAACTTAGGTAAGCAGGAAGTTGCCCTGGGCAAGCAAAATAAAATATGAGAGCTGCTTGCCCAAAGGATAAGCAAAAAATTCATTTTTTATCAAAGCCCTGGCTTATGGCTTACAATTTTTGGATTGTTACTGCTGAGGGTGCTTTAATCGGGCCTAGAGCAGGGCTAAAATAAATGTGGGGTGGAGGGAATGGAGTGAATAGACCAACTTTAAGCTTCCTCCTCCTGGCCACCTGTCAAAAAAAAAAATAGGTAATTTTTATTAACAAATAATTGATCATGGTGCCTAGAGATTCAAAGAGATACTAATACTGTCATATAATGACAAAATTGAAAAGAATACCTTATCTCAAGTGGGGTTAGAGAGGCTAATTTTTAATTAATTGAAGCAAAAAAATACCTATCCAGCGGCCTTTTATACATAAGTTGTATGTATTAATAATTATGGCTCTTCATCTGTATATAAGCTGTTCTCATCATTGTAATTGATTACTTTTGATCATCATGTTAGCCACCCTGTTAGGCTAAAAAATTATTGATAACTGATCAAATGAAGTCAAGTTGATATTAGGGTTATTGTATTTATTCATGGGTTGATTTGTGTGCTCAAAGGAAGCTATTGAAAGTGAACAAGCAGGAACTCCAGCTTCATGGCTTCAAGAATGTTGTATCTCCTTGTCACCATCAAATGACACCTTAGCTATTGCAAAAAATGATAAAGCTGTTTTTCTTGCAAGTAAGTTACAAGTATGCCAAAACTAGTAATACAAATAGAAATATTATTACTACTACTACTGCTACTGCCACTGCTACGACTATGGCTTTCAGCTACTTCTATGGCTATGGCTACTGCTACTTATTATATTACTATTATTAGTATTTATTATGTAGGCAGTTTCGAACGGGATGTCAGGTCCAACCAGGTGGCAAATCGTGACCAACCTCTGTTTTTTCCAAAAAAAAGTAATATAAAAATTAATTATTGATTGATTAGAAATGTAAAATTAATATTACTATGTGCATTAGTCATTTTACATGTAAAATTTGTTAGCTAATAATAGGTAATTACATTAAATTTAATTTATAAACAGACTAAAAGTCATCAGTTTCCTATACTGATCATTGGCCATTATCTAAAAAAAATATAAATAATAATCGTAATAATCACATTAAAAAAAGAAAACACATTGTTCTTCACTTATGGTCCTAGCATAAAAAGAATTTTAAATGATCCTGCAATGTTGAATCTGCTAGTTAGAAAGTGTTCTACAGCTTCTTGCATTCTTCTCAACATGTGTTTGCCTCTCCCTTTTAATACCCTACTACACTTAGTTATCTCGTATTGTCTCTAAGCCCTTTTGAATATCCACCCAGGATTTCAATTACAATAATTATTAACCAGTGAGTGCTTTATTTCAAAACCTGGATACTGTCGCTTGAGCTTCATGCACAGTGGGGCATATTAATTTTTAAGGTCTTTTCTCCAGGCTTCCTTCTGCTGATGATTATCTATCCAGGGGCAGCTCATCTCCAAAAGCGTTATCCTTCTCCTTGCTCTGTCGACAGTTCTTGTACCCACTCTGTTGGCTCCGACTTCTGTCTGGTCAGCATATACGGGAACATCCCAAAAAACTGTCATGTGATTGTTTTCAAACATTGGTTTGGGTTGTGTGGCGCCAGTAAAGAGAGAGTCGGTCGATCGATGACACGGTTCAGGTAAAGCAACTGCTACTTTAATGCTACTGAAGACACAACAGCGAAATACAGAACAAACTCTAGAGCGAGACACGAGAGCGACTAGGGCGCGTGTCCTTATCTACAGTACCGCTGACCGGTACTGGCGTGGCCTCTTTTTCCTTTCTTTACTCTTACAAATGTGGGATGAGCCCAATGGTTATAGAAAAATCTAGGTACATGTAAACGGCTAACATGAATAACAATAAAACTTTAACAGTCCTCAGTTTCACGAGGACCACTGGCTAATTAATCCATATCAAAGTCCTCAAAACGTGCGGGTCGGCGTCGCTCACGTGTGGATCGGCGAGGAGGGGGGGGGGCATCTGATTCGCTGTCACTAGCATAGGGGTCTCTGGGTTCATCAGGGTGGGTCACGGTCACGGTATCGTGAGACTCATCGTGGCTGGTAGGGAAGTCATCAAGGTGGGGGATTTCCTGGGTAGAAGGTGTCGAGATCGCGCACGGAATGTTTGGCGGGGGCGGTGGTTCTGGCTGTGTTTGTGGAGTTTCGTCAGATGATGAGTCTGCGTCCCTATTGGGAGCAGGTGGTCTGTGGTTCACGACTTCGGATGGGACTCGATAGCACTCAGACATCTTCACTCGGTAAGACGTGCTGCGGAGTTGGGAGCCAATGAATTTCTTGACGTTGCAGAACGAGCCGGTTATTTCTACGACAAGGTAGCGATCGCGGGCTCTGGTCTTGTTCCGATCGGCATAGAGGTAGACTAAATCACCTACAGCAACGCGGTCAGTGGGGGTGCTCTTTGAGATAGGTGTCTTGGACTTCTCACTGTGGGGTGGTTAGACAACCGTTGTGTATGTTGTCGAGGATGATGTCCTGGTCTTGTAGGGGATCTGCTGGTTTGTGAACTGATCACGTTGGGTCCACATCTCTCTTGCGGAAAGACCACGTGAGCCGGGCGCGTTTAGATTGGCTGTGACCACGGCGAGTTGCACGTGGTTTACTGGACCGCCCTAGTGGATCATGGCGGAGTAGTTCGCTTTCTACCTCCTGTACTGCCCGCTCTGCAATAGGGTTCTTGTTTCTGTTTTTGGCGTCGCCGATCTCAAGGGTGATCCTGTGGTGTTTCAGTAGTTGATCATCCCTGAGTGCTTTGAATCCTGGGGCTGGGTCGGCATTATGACGGCTGTTGGTCCATCTAGTGGACGTAGTTGGACACAAAGGCGGATAAGGCGTCGCGCAGAGTGTTGTGACGGCCGCGTCTTCCAGCAGGGTTGTGGCTGTAAACGATGTCACGCACTCACGTGGTACAAGCACAAGTTGTCTTGAGCGTCTGATGACATCTGCGGCAAATGATCGCCAACTGCGTCGGGGGGGGCAGGACGACTGCTCCACGCGCATTTTCGGAGTTTGGCGTAGAGAGGCACAGATGTGGCAAGCTTGGGTCACGCGGTCGATGGCCTTGTGTATGTCTAAGGCATATAGGTACCGGTTGGTTACAGCTTGGAGTTGATGGCTCGATGGATGGGTGAGCTGTATGTGTAGGGCTGTCAGCAGTCCATCAAGCACTTGTCGAGGGACAATGATGCACTCGCGGCTAGGTACAAGGGGTTCATCACGCCGGACAACGAGCAAGCCATCGTTTGCAATGGTAGCAACGTTCAGGTATCTTTTAACATCTTTTATGTTGGTAAGTTTCTTCGAAGGGCGTGTCCCTTGTTGTAAGTGGGCGCGAGTACGCCGCAGATCGGCACATTCGGCCTGAATGGCTAACCAGGCAGTGCGGCTGGTGAAGGGTAGGCGCTCATCACCACGCAGTATATCCTGTACCGATGTGTTTCTGACAACGGAGTCTTGGGTGAGTTTTGTGAAGGCGCAGATCTGGCAGGCTTCGTCTTCGCAAGGGGGTGCGTTGCGGCTGGCGAAATCAGAGGGTAGGATCGCAGATCCGGATACATGTCTGACGGACGCTTGATACCGACTCACAGTTGATAGAAAGGTGGAGACGCGAGGGCTAGCGGAAAACTCCCCGCGACAGAGTTTTTCAAATGCCTGTACGCACGGTTTGCTGTCGGTTAGGATGTAGGCCTTGTGAAGGGATTGGATTAGGTACGGGCTGAAGTGCTTGGTGGCAACGGCAATAGCTAGGGCCTCCACCTCACACGGTAACCATGTCGGTTGTGAGCCCGAAGCTTTGTGCTAAAGAACCCTGCCAAATGAAGTTTGTTGTCACGGGTGGCGTAAAGCGTGGCTCCTATTCCAGGCTTACGGACCGCCCGTCGGTCACAATCCACAACTGGTCACTTGGTTTGGGTAGCGAAATGGTGCGAGCAGTGGAGAGGGCTTCTGGGCATGGAGGAACGGTTCGGAGGTCGTCTGACCATTGTATGTGTTCTTTAGATTCGCGGCCAGCTACGGTGTCATCAAGTTGTGCAAGGAGTGACGAGCACCCGGAATTACGCAGGGAGAGCACCTTGTATGCTCCTATGAATGATCGCATGCGCCAACGGTTTCAGGTTCAGGACACGAGGCGAGGGTGGCGATGCGGTGAGGGCTTGCTCTTAAAGTGCCAGCGTTCCAAATCCATCCCAGTATTGTTGTGGACCGAGGATTGATGATCGTCTTCGATGCGGAGAGGCGGAGGTCACACTTGTGGAGGGCTGCTAGAACCTTCCTCCAGTTTCGTAGGAGTTCTTGTGGCGTGTTTCCCCCACAGTATAGATCGTCTGCGATTTTGGCGACGACGCCTTCTTCTAAAAAAGGTGACCAAGGACGCGACACATAAGTTCTTCCAGTGCCGTTTGAGCCGGGTATGCCCATGGCCGACCGTGTGTATACGCCGCACTCCCGGAATGGGGTAGCTACCCCACAGTACTTCATGGAGGCACGCGAGGGGATTTGGTAAAAGCGCTGGTCAAGTCCGATGCGATGATGTGTTTCCACTGGGCGATATGGCGCAACGTGGAGTCCACATCTGGCATGAGTGAAGGTTGTGGCTTGCTGTGGCGGCCGACATCAGCGAATGCAGTAACTAGGGGGGAGCCACCATTGGGTTTCTTGACGAAATGATGGGTTCAGGTACTCGACCGTGATGTTTTATGTCTTGGGCGACTGAAGACACCCAAAGCTTCAAGTTCGTCAAATTTCTGCTGGAGCTCCACTAGCTGGTGACGGGCATACTGTGGTAGACGGCCTTTCCGCTGGGGGGTTCTACAGGTCCCATGTTGACTCTTGCTTCGAACGGACCTTCCGCACCGTTGTAGCCCTTGATGTTTGGGTCGAACACGTGGTCATACTCGTCCAACAGCGAAGTGAACTTTGCTCTTATATCCCGGGAAGTAAGTTGTCTGGGTCAAGGCGCATACGGTTGTGAGTGTTTTGTACCTGGGATAGGTACTGTTGGTTTGGGAGGTGGCTTGGCTGTTGGGGTGAGTTGTCGCCGAGGGGTTCTGGTGTGAAGGTGGCGCTGCACCTGGCAGAAGTGCTCATTTCGCTTGAGGAAGTGTGGCTCGGATGAGAGATTGGGAATACGTATCTTTCCTGCCACGCTAGAGACTATGCGTGGGGTGGGCCACAGTTGGGAAGCTGACAACTGCCTAACGCTGGGGCATCTGTTCGAGGCTCTAAGGCGTATTCGAGTCAGTGGGGACGCCGTGTGGTAGGTCGACTTCAACAAACTCTCCGGGCCAGACGGTCATTGACGTGGGGGAGAGCGGAGTACTATTGCACGACGCGGCGGGGTTTACTGTAGCTGGGTGTGGGGACCCGTGAACTGGACGATGGAACCGTTGTGGAGGATCACTTGGCGCTTAGCTGGGCGCTACTGCAATATCGTTGGTTTCCATAAAGGGGTGCCTGCCAGTATGTCCACGCCGAGGTTCTCAACGACGAGTCCTTTCAAGGTGAAATCTCGGCCTTCGCGGCTTAATAAGAAGCGTGTCTCACCGACGACCTGAAGGGGGGATGAGCCGTCTGCTTGGTGGACGGACTGGGAGCTAGATGTCATGTGGCAGCCAAGGCGTTGGGCGACAGTGTGGCGGATCATGTTTCCAGTAGCCCCACTATCGATGGTGATTAAATGCGGGGTAGTGGGAGTAGAACATGTCTAGGTAACGGTGACTGGCGGGTCTGTATGCGGAAGACCTTAGGGCCTGGGCCAGGCCTAGCGTCGTCGGTGTCGCTTTCTGGGTCGGTCATGTCGGGTGTGGTCTCAGGTTCATGGGAGCATCAAAGATGTCGGCGATCTGTCTGGCCTTCGCGATGTATTTGCGGTCTTGGTCTGGAAGGAAATTGCATTCGCTCAAGAAATGGTTGTCGGGCGACCTGCCTGTTTGCAAAGGGGACAGGACTTAGTGGGGCGGCTGGGTGGGTGTAGTCGCCTTTCACGGGGTTTTGACGCCGAGAGGTCTGTGGTAGTTAGTGACAGCGGTGCGCATGATCTTGGCATCATCAGCGGTGCGTATTTCGTCGAGCAGGGAAGTAAGGGCCTGAGATATCTCTGGCTTTATGGAGGCCAGAGTCCGTGATCGTAGCTCAGTTCCATACCGCTGTTTCACTAACTTAGGTAGCTCGGGGTGGATCAGTTTAAGCCAGGTGAGAACGATGAAATTCTCCAGGGTGGGGGTGAGTTCCTCATCTTCTGTGGTAACCTCACCATGGTGTGACAGGCTATTTGCACGGAGTAGAGTGTCCTCCACGAAGGCCATCAGTCTCTGAAAGAGATCCTCTGGGCGTTCATCTGCTTCCAAATGTAAGCCAGCGAAATCTAGAAAGTGGGCGCCTGTGACTTGGAAGCCAAAATGTGCACGAATCATGTTCCAAACAGAGTGAATCGAAGTCGAGTTCTTCACGAGAGAGGTCCTGGATATCACTGGGCAATAGTTGGCTATTTGTCCGAGCATTAGTTCGAGGAAATTGACCTTCTGACAGGCCGTTTTGCGTCTGGAGGCGGGATGGTTTCCCGTCATCTGTAAGGCCGCGTAGGGGCTGGGACTTAGTCTTTTTCCCCACGTGGCGTCTTCTGCGAGGAAAGGGCGAAATTGCTGTCGAGGGATAAAGTGTACAACAGATTTTGTCTCCAGTTCTCAAAGCTGTTGATGGACTCGTTCTTTGACAGGCTCCACTGTTTTGGGGCTCGGAGGGTACTCGCCATAGTTGTGGTTTGGTTGCAAGTTTACGGATAAATCGTGCTTGGGCGGACGAAGGTGTTCAATATCGACTTACCGGCGTTTGTACGGGTAGCTCTGGCTTTGTTTTCTTTTCGGTTTCTTGGCGTAGATCCGGAAGCGCTGCCACCACGCCAGTAAAGAGAGAGTCGGTCGATCGATGACACGGTTCAGGTAAAGCAACTGCTACTTTAATGCTACTGAAGACACAACAGCGAAATACAGAACAAACTCTAGAGCGAGACACGAGAGCGACTAGGGCGCGTGTCCTTATCTACAGTACCGCTGACCGGTACTGGCGTGGGAAAATACCAAGGAGGAACAGACTCTATCAGTCTAATGACTGAAAAAAATATGGATCGAAGTAAATCTGATTCAGTGACTACAAATACATATTGTAGTTTTGAACCATTTATACCTTCAATCTCGTTGATTCTTTACCTGTCCAAGCTTGATGTCAGTATAGAACTATAGACGTATCTTTAGAGCAACCACCCTAGCACTTAGAAGTACACCCATTTGTTATTAGCCACATAATTGTTATAGAGTACATGTAGTAGTGAAAACTCCTCTTTTGTACATTTTGGCATCTGTCTGCCTTGATAGACAGAGGAAGCATTTCTTGGAATGTTAAGCCAGTTGTGTTGAGAATCTGGGGCTATGACTGATCAGACCTAGTGTGGCAGTCTCATCCACATGTACTGACAACAAAATTAAGAAAAGTCAAAGCTGAGGGATGGATTTAGTAGAATGCCGAGCTATACTGATACATTCAGTATAACAGTAATAAATTCTTATTTTATTGGATGAGTATACAGTCAAACCTCTTTAATACGGACACCAAAGGGACAGAACCAAGTGTCCGCTTTACAGAGGTGTCCGTATTATAGAGGTAGGGAATGTATGATTTTTGGCACTCTGGGACCAAACGAACTGTCCGTAATAGAGAGGTGTCCGTAAGGAGAGGTTAGACTGTATAATTAAAGTTTCAGTGCATGCATAATTATAATAAGAGTAGGCATTCACTGGTGACTTAATTTTTATACTAGGCAAGTGGAGTAAGCCAACAGGCAGTGAACCTAATACAAAGTATGAAGTGGTTTGGAGTGGCAGTTTGTCAGTGGAGGAGGGGTAAAATTCATTGACCTAATCTTTTCTTGATTAACCATTAACTTTGTAACTGTTGTAAATTATGAGTCTTTGTAAATCTGTCATGGTATTGTCCAAATTCTCTCTTGTATTGTATTATCTAGTATATTATTTATGGATTTGTCAATTTGTGCTACTTCAGGGAGTGCATTACAGATATTCTGTGCATACCTCTTGCTTCACAGCATAGGTGAGTACATTGCCTTGCTAAATTTTATCATTTTAAATGTCCCTGTTTGTAATGTAGTATTCATTTTATGTATCAAATTTTATAAGATATCATAATTATGTATTGTTAAAAGTTGTGCTTAGTTCAATGATTTTATATCATTCTTAACTTATAGCATAATATTTTATTATTTAAGCAATAGAAAA